ATATATATATTCAGTTCTAGCTATTACTGTTAGCTAAAACAGAAGTACATGATACTGAGGGAAAGAAAATGCTATTTAATCATTTCCCAAACACATCAATATACACCTGATTTGGGGGGTGAGCTCAATTTGGCCCATGATTTAAAAAACATAAACCAGAAGGGGACTCACACTGGTCTAGTTCAAGCCTTCATCTTTCCCGCTGGGAACCAGCTGGACGCAGGGACACTTACCTAAGGTCATGTAATTACAAAATTAGAGAGACGCGTCAGGTCTTGATAACACATCTGAAATCTTTTCCATTTCATAACAGAAGTTTATACTATAATACAGCCGTATGTTTAAAAAGATCAAATCAAGTAACAAGGAAAACAAATACATGGTAATATTTTAGACTAAAAATCCCTTGAGCAAGAGTTTTAATAAAAATGTATTTTGACAACTGTGTCAAGATAACATAATCAGTGTGGAATATGATGTCAACATTGATGGCTGAAGCTCTTTGGTGCAGTAATTCCTTTGTTTATGTATTATTCTTGTGTATTAGTTGTGCTTTCTTCTGCATCAGCTGAGTAAAATTTCTTCCACAAGAATTTCTCATTTGATTTCCAAAGAGAAGTTTCGAGCTTCTCTTTCCTTTTGGAGGATGAAGTGCGGGGAACTTTTTCACATAGAGTTTCAATCACTGCCAAGTCAGTGAGTTTACTAAGACTGTCGTCATTCTGTTCATTCAAGATGTCCCAGAAATCTTTTGGTCTCTGTTTTACTTTTTCCACAGGCTCTGAAAGAACTTTCTTTGGCAGCCGTGTGGGACTGTTCCCGTGACTTTTAAAGAGGTCATCAAGAATAGAGGTGTCGCCAAGCAAGCCTACCACAGAAGTGTTTTCTAACACTGGATTTTCTATATTTTTGTTCTTCACTTTGAAAAGGGGTCCATTTTGTAAAATGCCTGTTCTTGGGGGGTCTTGTTGATCTTTTATGGTGCTTTCTACCTTTCTCTCATATGCCTCTGACTTACTGATCAGGGAACATGATGCCATAGAATCTTCGGATGTTTGGCTGTTTTTCTCATTGTCAATCTCTTGGGTTGAATTTATAGGTAATTTTTTAGCTTCTGTACCACTAGAAAGCACCTCTTCGCTACAGGAACCATGATTTTGGAATTTAATTGATTTCCTCTTGTATACTTTTGGGATACACATTTGAGAATTGTTTTTGATAGAATCTTTAAGTGACAAAGTTTCAGACTCTGACAATCTTTCTTTTATAATAGATTTTCTTTTTTCAGGCTTACTCCTGATTCTCTTTCCTTCTTCATTGGCAGAGTTAATGGATTCTGATGCAGAATCCACAAAAAATTCTTCTACCTCTGGATACTGAGAAACATAAAAGTCTTTTAGCATTTTCTGTCTTTCTTCTGAAGTGGCATTCGTTATATGTTCAGCAAATTCCTTTTTAGATGAAAACTTAAAAAAAGAGGACATTTCTTCAAATTGTTTCCTGAAGAATTAATGAAGAAAAAAAAAAACCACAGTGGTTATATTTTATTGTACTTATTTTTAAAGAACTCAGCATTGTGATATAAATATAGAGACAAAGCAATGTACTCTTATTCATTTAGTATGTTAGCTTAATTCCATAATGAAATGCATTCCAGCAGAATGTGACCTCTTTCCTTATGTTACTAAGAAAATATTTTAGCTAATGAAATCACCGCTTTCTAAGTTATTCTAATTTAAACCTATCATGTATTTCCTGTGAATTATGAGATCCCAGCATGCTATTCCTTTAGCTAGCCAATTTATGATTGGCATGAGAATAATAATCTATAGTCTGTATTTTAAAATCTATGTTGCAGTCAAGGTCCATGAAATAAAATTGTCAAAGAAAGAAGGGCCTTAATAAGCAGAAAAAAAAATTTCTGAAAAATGAAGAACTTCTTCTTTCACTTCCTTCTTTCATAAAAGAATATTAAAAAAAAATCACACAACTTTTTTAATGAGTCTAAAAAAAATATCCTAAAACAATAAACCTAGATTCTTCCTTACCCCAGTTGGCCTGATTTCAGTATAGACTGTTAAGCTAAGAGATGAGATACTATTTGAAGAAGTGAGTTTAATTGTTACTATGAAATACAAATAAAGCTATTCTATGAATGTGCAAAGAAACAGGCCTTCTGGAAACCTGGTGAGATGGAAGCAGATTGTTTAGGGACCGTGAGCACTAGACTTTGCTCTTTTCCCCAGGTGAGGGTGCTATGGAATCAACTGTGTCCCTTCCAAATTCATACCACCAATGTGACTGTATTTGCAGAGAGGACCTTTAGGAGGTAATTAAAATTAAAAGAGGCTATAAGAACTCTCCATGAGAGGACAGAATAAGATGGTAGCCATCTACACTCCAGAAAGAGCCCTCACCAGGTACCAAATCAGCCAGCACCTGGATCCTGGACTTCCCAGCATCCAGAACTGTAAGAAATACATGTCATTTAAGCCTGAGTCAGAGGCAGACAAAACAGACTAAAATGGCTTTGCTGACAGTGAATTTAGTCTGTGAGTCAGGAGACCCTCAGGTCTGTAAACATTCTTTTAAACAAAAGCCAGAGATGATGATATAGCACATGATTTAAAGTCTTGAAGTTTTAAAGTCATGAAGTTTTAAAGTCACATCTGCATTTCATATCATATTTTCTTCAATTATCTATTCAACAAATATTTATAGAGCTGTCTTATGTACTAGGGACTGAGGAAGAACTGAACAAGAGTGAACAAGACATAGTTTCCTATCTTCAAGGAGTTTATAGTCTAGTTGCATGAAAATCAAACCAAAAGAGAGCAATAAATCCCACAATGCTGGCACAGACCAGGTCCCATGATCCCACAGAAAGGGCACCTGAGCTAGTCATGGGCAGTGGTAAAGTGGGAAGGGAAGGCCTCACTGAAGTCACCTCAAGCAGTTAGTGAGGGTGAGTAAAGATGCTTTCTGGGGATCAAGGGCATGTGTGCAGGTCCAGTTCCCAGGGGATGAGGCGCATGGCAGGGGAGGAGAAGTGCCAAGAGAGATGCTGAAAATGATGAGGGCTTTATTTGTCAGTTTCAGAGTTTGAGCCTTATCCTGTACACTACAGAGAATCCTGAGAGTAAAATAATGGTTTTCAAAATGTATGTCAGTAGGAGCTTTAAAGCCCCTATTATTTTTGCTACCCAGATCAGGTTATAAAGGTGTTTTGAATTTCAGTGGTGATCACGTAGTGTGCGCATGACTTTCTCTTGTGGCTTCAGATGAGCACTAGAGCTTCTCATCTACACTAGAGTAGACCCTTCAGTTTCAAGTCCAGACATTATCTGTTCCTGATCAACAGCCACTCTCACTGCCAACAGAATATAAAATAACACAGATGCAAACTCACACATTTCTGTCTTGGAAACTGCCAATGCTCCTGTGGGAGAGCAATAAGCACAGGCTTAAAAGGTTCCTGTTTTCCCTTCACATGTTTTGTTTAGTAATCATCTCTGAATCAGTTTTCCTGGCCTTCCTAATAAATACTTGTGCTGCAAATTTAATAGCAAAGTTAAAGGCTGCTGTCACGTCTCTAGGACGTGGTGGTATCTCGTTAGCTGCTGGTAGAAACTTTCACCTCTGCTGAGTTCACCTCACTCCTGACCCTGCAGCTCTGTCACTTCTGGAAGAAAAGTGCTTCTGAACCTATTTCACCTGAATAGTCCTCAAATCAAAGACTGGATTGTTGCTCTTTACAGCGTGGATTAAGATTGTAATTTTATTTTTACCTCTTAACTTGCTTTTGTAACTTTAGTCCTCAAAATAACTTGATGTGAAAATTTAAGGGACTGTGAACTTTAAGGGACTGTGGTACAACGAGGGGGGTTAAGTTGGCTAGTTTGTGAGGAAAATTGAATATAGTAAAGGCAGACACTTATGAATCACTTAGAGAAGGAAAGAAAACTGCACACATAGCTAGCAAGAACAAGTTGTGTATCAAAAACAAGCCATGTGTCCTGTGCAAAATTCAAGTCTCCTTCCCCTTTTCTTGAGGAACCAGGGGAGAAAAGGTGGGGGCAAAGCTAAATTTTCCTCAGTCTAAGATTTCTGAACCTCCTTCAGACACTCTCTGGAGACTGTCACCTGGTGCATACTTAATTCCCAGAAAGTAGGTTGGTTGGTAGGAGAGTAGTGTCAGCAGTGTAGAACATTGTTCCCTGGTGTTCTAACATCAGACACCCGCTACCTTTTCATTTAGCATGAAGTATACATCCCTTAGGTTGGGTAGAGACAAAAAGGAAAGGAGGCAAAAACATAACTAAAGGGGCAAACACATGAGCCTCTTAAAGACTGGTAAAATGTATCTAGATGGCCTAGCAAAAAACTGCCTGAAGTGAAAAGGCACATCAAGTGAAAATCACACTGCATGTCTGTGAGGTGACTGCTATAGCAGTGTGGTGTGTTCCCCTTCCTGGACACTGGTGGGCAGCTGAGAGTCATGCTCCAACTGGACACAGCAGCACCCAAGCAGTAGAGGGACCAGCTAAGGGCTGGGCAGCTAAGGGCACGATGCTGGGCAGTGCCAGCTCCTTGCAGTAAGCACGTGGAACCCACAGAGTCAGCATCTTTACCCACTATCTGTGGAGGTCATCAGGACCAATCGGCCATGCCTCTCAGGGACCCATTGCTTGCTACTCCATTACTCTTGGCTATGAGGGGTCTTTCATGCCCGTGTACTCTCTCCATCCTTCCAGCCTAAGCCAATCTCTCAGCCGTCCAAACCATCCTTTGGTGCCCCTGGAGCCAGGCAATGATTCCTCAACTCTGTCTTCTATGCCGAATTTTTCCCCTGTCCCCTCGGGACTCTGCCGATGAAGTCCTTATACCACATACACCTTAAACCTTAAAGCTGTCTCTTACACCTTATACTCTTTTTTTTTTT